TTCTTCTCAGGATTACTGTTTTAAAATAAGGTATCAAATATGCAGCTCTTTTGGTATTGACCCTTAAATCAGCGTTCAGTTATCAGCAAAGAATGTCCTTGCCCTTAAAAAGTTATTTCATGACGATGTTTTCTACTTTTTAATTGTTTATTAATATGACGATGTGTTGAATCACGTTCACTTCTATTATTATACTTCACTTCATTTCTAATGGGATCTATATGAATTGATTGTAAGCTTTTTATGATCTTGTTCTTATGGTTTTTTTTTTGTTTTGTTTTTTTTGCTGAGATGGACTTTGAAACTGAGCAAACAATAGCGCTTCTTGATTCTCAACGTGAATACATGGGCATGAATGATGATGAAGATGTTGGATTTGATATAGATGAGGAATTGACAGAAACAAAATTTGAAGTTCAAAGTGAAACACAAGCTTATGCATCAACACAAGCAACAACACAGCAATGACACCTCAGCATAAGCGTCGAAAAACATCACATGTTTGGAAAGATTTTGTATTAGTGGGGATAGATGAGGATGGAAAGGAAAAGGCTAAGTGTATTCACTGTGATTCAAAACTAATGGTTAATAGTAAAACTCATAGTACAAATCATTTGAAGCGACATTTAGAGTGTTGTTCTAAGGTGCCTAAGAAGTAATATAATCCTATGTATGATCATATAATAGATCGTGAGATGGTTACTGAGGATATCATTACCATGATCTACTATTTTGGTATGTGGAGTATGAGAAGGTTAGAGCAAGAGATAAGTATTTAAATCCTGATTGTCAACCTATATGTAGACAGGTTGCAGCTCTCGATGTGTATAGGAGATATGAAATAAAGAAAGAGAAGTTGAAAGGGTTGTTTGTGAAGCATCATGGCAGGGTTTGTCTCACCGCTGATTTATGGGTATCTCGTCTTCAAAACATGTCATATATTTTCTTAACTATTCATTATTTATGATAGTTGGAGATTAAACAGTATGATCTTAGAATTATGTGAGATGAAGTCTCCACATACCGGTGATCTAATTGTTACTAAGATCTTTGAGTCTTTGAAGGAATGGGGCTTAGAGAAGAAGGTTTTCTCGATGAATTTAGACAATGCCACAAACAACAATAGTATGTTGAGAATTCTCAAGGGCAGGCCTCAGATGATACGATGGAGGTTTCTTGTGTGATGGTAAGCACATACATGTGAGATATTGGGCTTACATTTTGAATCTTATAGTTAAAAATGTCTTGGAGTTTGCAATTAGTCTTATCATAATATCTGAGAAAGCGTCAGATATATGAAAGCAACGCCACAAAGGAAAGAAGCATTTGCAGCATGTGTAGAGAGAGTAGGAAGAACATGTGGAGCTGGATTGTCACTTGATGTTCCTACTCGCTGGAACTCTACATATGGGATGCTTGTCAGAGCTCTCAAATTCAAGAAAGCATTTTCTAGCTTGGAGTTGTATGATTCGAAGTATAAGACGTCTCCTTTAGAGGATGAGTGGAACCGTGGAGCAAAGATCCGTGAATTGTGAAGTCGTTCAAAGTTACCACAATCGACTTTTCAAGTTCAAAATATCTCATTTCTAATATCTAATTCACACAAGTATGGAATATACAAGTGTTTCTGGAAAAAATTCCATTTGTTATGATGAAAGGGTGAGAGAAATGGCCAGGGACATGCGAGTTAAGTTTGATAAATACTGGAAGGATTATAGTGTAATCTTGGCAATGGGAGCAGTTCTAGATCCAAGAACAAAGACTGAGATGGTTTAAGCTGCTTACAACGAACTGGATCCTTCTACTGCAAGCTCGAAGACCAAAAAACTCAAGGAGAGTTTGAGTGACCTTTATAAAGACTATCAAAAACTGTTTCAAACAAGTTCTTCGGGTGTTTCACTTACGCCAACTCAACATAAGATTGTCACAGAATCTCCACTTGAAGATGATTATGATAATGAAAGTAACTTAATATAACTTAAGATAATTAATCATTCACTGTCTTAAAACTGATAATTTGATATACATGTTCACATGATTTTTTGAGCTGGAAAAGAATTTTGAAGGTGAAGCTAGCGACCCAAAGACACATTTGGATATCTACTTCGAAGAGCCCATGCTAAACAGAAAGGCTAACTCAAAATTAGATGTCTTAGGTTATTGGAAAGATAACCAACATCGGTTTAGAAATTTAGCATCCACACTTGACATCCTCAGCATTCCGATCACCACATTAGCATCTGAGTCTACCTTTAGCGTTGGATCCCGGGTTTTAACTCCTTACCAAAACTGCCTCTTGTCTAAAAATGTCCAAGCTCTTCTATTCACTAGAAATTGATTGCGCGGTTTTGCGAATACCAAGGTAAAAAAACTTTAAAACACCATATATGACGATCTTTTGTAACTGATTCATATTATATTTTGTAGCTACAATTGAAGACCTCTTTGATGAAAATGAAAATGTTCAAAACAAAACAAGTAGTTCAGGAGTGGAGTCTTCAACATCAAAAGAGTAAAGTGTGAGTGGTTTCTTATACTCATTTGAACTTTCTTTAATTTGTATGATTACTAACTAGGCTAATAATCTGTGATATGTAACGAGATGAGTAATGAGATGAGTGGTCTTAAAGTGTTCTTAGCATATACTTGTCATTTAAATATTTTCCGAGTTGTATTATGATAAGTTTTGATTTCATTATGGACATGTATGATGTAGAAGATTAAAGCTGCTCTTCATTGTGATAGCACCTAATTTGAGATGGGATGGTGTGTGTGGATTGAGACAGGAAAGTTCTAGTTGCAAACTTTAAAATTTTAGTTGAAATGGGATTTGGAAATTTTAGTTGAAATGTGATTTGTAAACTTTGAATTTTTAGTTGAAATAAAACAACATAATGTTCAGTGTTATAAGTTATGATATGGAGTTATAATTTATTTGACAGATTTGATTGAAGAATCAGGTTACTAACTTATGATACAAATAGATCATGTTCAATTTTTTTTTAAGTAATCGGGTTCAAAATGAATTCAAAACGGGTTTAATATTAAACGGGCTTCACATAAACAAATTTAATTTAAATGGGTTCTAAATAGATATTAGATAAATGGGCTCAGACGTAAATTGGTTTGCCCGACCCGTTTTAACATTCCTACGTGGCCAAGGTTTTCACTTAGCTTCAAGATACTTCAAGAGGTATCAACCTTGGATATCTCTTCTCAAAATCCCATTCTTGACCATCAAACATTATCCCTTCTGGTGTAACCACATGATTCAACAATGTTTAGTCCTATTGTTTCTTTATACGATTATAGAAAATTCTCTATATAAATTTTGTAGAATACTTTCTTATCTTTTTGTCTTTATTTATGATTTAGTAATAAATTTTACCTTCGTTTTTTCCTTAACGAGTACTATGCTTAATCATAATTAATTAAGACCAACTGTTAAACCTCCTCCCCATACAAAAAGGACAAAAAGAGTGATAAAAAAATTGCTCAGGGAATTACACTTTCTCCATGCAGAACCAGCACTTACCAGATGCGAATGAAACATAGGCTTGCAGCGGCCAATTGATTAAGTATATAACCGGCCATACAATTATCAAAACTGTCAGTGTTCTAGTGGTTTGTCGTTTGTTGTGACTATGCGAGAGGTTACATTTGAATCCCATCATGTGCATAATTTTTTTTAAAAGAAATTTCAGTCATTTTTTTTGTTTTGGGTTTGTGGCCTTGAAAAATCTAGGACTTGTTTTGTCTCCATGCTATTTATCTTAGAGCGCGCTCAATTAATATACTTCTTCTATCACGTTCTCAAAACTTCCTTTTGTAGATGTTTGCGCCGCTAGATATCAAAAACAAGATGTTGAAATCGAAATTTGGAGACGATACCAAATGCGCTAGACTTTCTTTTTTAGTTTCCGACCTTTTTAACTAAAAATATTTCTTCCAGGGGAGAACGAAAAAAATACATATGCGTACACACACTAAAACACACATCCAGGAATCATTTAATTAGTGATCATCTTAGGCAACTTAGGTTGAATATGACGATGAGGCCAAGGAGTCCAAGGATAAAGCTCATTAGTATCTTTCATCAAAAGACCTTCACGTCTAATCGCTAAAACGCATCTGTATCCAGGACACTTTCTTCCAAGCGCCGGTGTTATCTCGATATTAATATTAACATAACCCAAATTAGACCGGAAATGACACCGGTTAACCACCTTTGCGTTAGGGTTAATCCGGTAAAAAAAGAACTTTGCGTAGAACATGTCACCAGGGAGAGACCTAGTCCAATGTTTCCGACCAATGCTGCACTCGAACCCTGCTTTTGGTTTCTTCATACCCTTTAGTTCGTTGATAGCTTCGAAGATCACATTGGTTCCGTCTTTGAGTTCGAAATCTGAGCTGTAATACTCACTGGGATGGATTGATTCGTAATCAGCGTAATGGTTTATCAAAGGGTTGTCGTCGTCGCTGCTGGTGGCGTGTATCACAAGGCTTAGACATATTAGGGTTCCAAGAAACAACTTGTTTTCCATATTACTCCTTTTGAAAATTATTTCTTGTTTTTTTTTTCTTCCCTTTCTAATATATATAAAAAGTGTTCGGTTATAAAAACAATGTCGTTATTTTTCCAAAAAGAAATTTACAATCGGTTATATAACAATGTCGTTATTTTCTCAAACAGATTTTTTTGTAACGTTTGTGAATGCAATGGTGTTATAACATTCTATATTTGACATGTTTGTTGAGATAATCAATCAAATATAGCAACTTCTTAACCGCTCATGATGTAATGAGTTCAACAATGTGCTTTCTCTTAACACAGTAGATAAGAAACAACAATGATAGTCTATTTGGATTGTAATAAAAATCTAAAACAGAGGTAGTGCACATATGCTAAACATGTCAAAGGCATAATCTTCCTACCTCTATTCGACCAAATAGCAAGTTTAGGGTAGCTTTATAGCCACAAGTTACTGTAGATCTTTGGCTCATCCAATCATAGTACGCTTTCTTCCTCGTTGCCTCACTGCATAACCAAAAGAAAAAAACATATTTTTAAAGATCTGAAAACAGAGCTGGTTTTCTAAGAGGGGTTTGATAGAAGTAGAACCTTGAGCGAGCTTGTTGAACGTGGCTGACCATTGCTTTGAGGACTTCCTATATGCTGTTAGTATACGATCCATCTACATTTTCACAACATAATACGCCATTTTTAGACAATAACAACACACCGACACAGAAAAAGTAATGAAGTAGTGATCTGCATCACTCTTACCACATTTCCGCATGAAGAATGCATTGAGAGCAAGGCTCTTTCAAGTACATATAGATCAACAGCTTTGTCTTCAGGCAAGGTTGACGTGAAACTCAAACCGAAATCAATTAGTACCTGAGAGAAGACATGAACTGTAAAGTAAGTAGTTGATTGAACATATCAGAAACTCTTTGGAGAACACTTACAAGCTGATTTGTTCCGCTTCTGACTATCATGTTTGAAGTAGTCAAGTCACCGTGAGACAAGCCACCATCATGGAGCTTAGCGATGGCCTCACCAATCTGAACAGCGATATCATCCAACCGTTCTTCAACAACCCCATTGGCACCAAACTCTAGAAAAACGTCTTTAACAGAGACGCCCTCGATGTACTCAAGTGTCAAGGAATGAAGCAGAGGATCCACTGCGTATAGGACTGGAGTACAAACTCCGAGCTTCCTTGCTTTTGTCATACACCTAGCCTCCTACATGTAAGATAAAACAGTTAGTTTCTACTTTTCTCTCGAGATTTGAACAAAAGGAAGAAGAAGAAGAAGAAAGACACAGACAGCATTCAATCGTTTCTGTGTGAGTTTCACATCCAGAATCGGGTGTCTATACTTCTTCGAGAATCGCTCTTTCACGATGGATCTTCTCCCCACAAATGTAGACTCGAACACCCTCTGAAAATAAGACAAGTAAAGACTTAATCTTGTCAAAAAAAAGAGAAAACATATTCACACAGAAACACTTACAGCTTCAGCTCCTTGTTTTATCAGAACAAGAGATTCCTTCCCAACGTCTCCCTCACAATCCATCCTAAGTTTCTTGGATAGCCTTGCACAAACACAAAGAGAGACACTTTTGGCAACTGTTTAAAGCTCTAGAAATAAGGCCGCACAATAGACTTCCCCATCTAACTTAAACCTCCACAAACAAAAGATCTGTAGGATTGTGTATCACTACCGTACTGTCATACCAAGAAACATCTAAACTAACGAACAGTTTGACTCGATACTCAAAAACAAAAGTCTCAAACTTTGAGTTAATAATACCAACACAAATATACACAAATGTAAAACGATTCATCATGTAATCTAACCCATCTACAAAATAAATCCTTTTTCCGGAATTTTTTTTGTCGGAAACAGCACAAAACATATAACTAACTCGTTGGAATTGCTTTGATTCCAAACAAAAAAATATCACACTTGTTTGGTCTAAAACATGTCAAATCTAATATCTTTATCCTCAGATATAAAACCTCTTAATACAGGAAACACAGACATGCACTATGAAGTTGTCGGAATCTTGGTTGGTCGGAGGATAAAGCCAAATAATAAAACTCGAAACTCCAGATTCTGGGGACAAAAAGATAGAGAGTGAGAGCAAGTTCATGGGAGAGAAGGACTAACCAACGATGACTATAGGTCGGCAGAGAAGGAATGAATCTGGTTAAAGACGTAAAGGGGAAAGCTACCGTCGCCGGAAAGGAGGCGGAGGAGAAAATATCAAACAACTATAAAACCCTTCCTTCGGTATGCCTCTTCCAAAACTCGTTTAATATTGTGATTTAAGTCGTCTAACCTTTATTTACTCTGATAGTTAGCTCATACTTTTTAAAATAACATTAAAAACCTAAAATATAAGAGAAACTAGGTGTTTTGTAACAAAAGAAATAAATTTAAATTCTATTTAAAAAATAAATTTATTATTATTTTAAAATTTATATTTTCTTAACAATTCTTTAAAATAATTTTTATTTAATTGAACATAAAATTAAGATAAATTAAACAATTTTGTTTATTTTGAATTCTTTTTAAAAATATATACATATACATCGTGTATATGTATATATTTTTAGAATTATAATCTTAGATATATATATATATATATATATATATGTATACTCGGATAATGTATATTAAATTAACTTGAATAAAGTTAGTTAAAATCCCCTATATATTAAAAGAAAATCATTTAAATAGTAGTAATCTTCAGTTTGTAATAATTAAAAATAATCTCAATCCTATGTGGCATAGCTTATCTTCTATTTCAATTTAGAAGGATTCTAGAGCATGTAATATAATTTATAGTCTAAAAATTATACTCTGTAGCAATATAATATTTCGTATGCTATAGTTGGTCGCATATCTCAAGTATTTATTATTTCGCATGATTTCCTTAAATAAAACCTACAGAATTAATGTGATTTTAAACAATAAATGTTTGATAATAATCTGTATACTTTTTCTCATTTTTTTATTTCTTTCTTATTAAAATAAATTACACAATTACATTAATCATATAATAAAAATCTAGATTTTGTTTTGCGTATGTTATATTTCGAATTTTTCAAAATGAGTAAATTACTAAAACTGTTAAAGTCTCACATAAACGTTTAGGATCAAGGTTTTAATTTTTTTCTACATTAAAATATAATGATTATATGACCATATGAATAAATAATTTTAGTTTATATATATTTTATATCGTTTAAATTAAATTATACATAGTATGAAAACACATACTTATATTTTGATATTTGTTTTGAACATATATTGAAAAGTTAATATTTTAATTTTGAAATATGTCATTGTTTTTTAAAAATGATCATAAATTATTGCAACTACTATACATCTCACATTAAAAAAATTCGTTGGTGTAAAGTTTTGTTAAACAAATATGAAAATAATCATAAAATCATATGTGTAGAAACCTCATTTAATAAATATTCATATTAAAAGTGTGCTATATTACTATGTTTATATCATTTAAATTTAATTATATATCATATACAATATATAAGATTGATTATTTTGATTTATTTACCGTAATTGTGAATAAACAAGAGTGATAGTTAAATTTAGATGCATACGCCTATGGCCTACATAATAGTAACTAGTTTCTTAGTTATTTAATATATATATATATATATATATATATTTATTTATTATTTTATAATATGCTGAAAATTAAAAAATAGAAAATAAATATAAAATAATTATTGCATAAAGTGTAGATCTTAATCTAAGTATGTATCTCTTTAATTATTATAATTTTAAGTATTTTCTAAATCTCAGGTCAAAAAAAACAAACGAAATGAGAATAAAATTCAAAATTAATATTTATATCAAGTAATAACCAAAATAAATAAAAAATACAACAAGAGAAAACATTGAAGATAAATAAGATTGACACGTGAACGTAAACTTCTCATAACCATAATTAATTTTTAAATTGTTAAATCATGATATAAAACTGAGTTAATTTTTAATTTGTTAATTTATAAATTTTTTAATTCATTATGGTAATGTTAAATCATGACCATAATTAATTTTAAATTTTTTATTTGTATTTGCAAAACTTAAAATATTATTTTTAAAAATAATTTAACATTTAACTTATTTTTCTAAATTATTTTTAAAAAATAATAATTTGTAAAAAATATAATTTTATAATATTATTAGACAAATAAATAAATTATATTAAATTAGTTTTGAAACTTTATATATTTTAAATGCAAATATTTTACCAACTGTTTCTTAAGAAAACCTTAGGGAACTTGCTAATACTCTACCAATCAAGACCATTGACATTCCGTTTATTTTCCATCACTCGAAAGATATATGAAATCGAGGGCATTAAATTCTAAGCTTTGATCTACGGTTCTAATTACAATTGTTTTTGATCCTACGTATTGATAACTATATAAAATTTTCAAAATTCTAAAATTTCAAATACAAATAAAAACAATCATATGTAAATTTTAAATTTATCAATACTAAAATTTTATATTTTAATTACATATATTCACCCTGCAAAAGGCGCAGGTCTTATCGTAGTTTGATATTAAAACTGTGTAATTATCAAAAAGTAAAACTAAACCGTATTTTTAATATGATTAAAATTAAAATTATTATTTTAAATATATATATATATATATATTTCGCGGATTTAGTTATTACATGGATAATTTTTTAATTCGATCGATCTCTACACTCATTACGCTACCAGCGTAAAAATTAACCGGACTGGATCATTTTGCCATGGTTTTATCCCATTTCAGGATTAACCGGACGATTACTAAAAATTAGAGTATTTTACACTCAAAGTTAGTTTAAAGATTTTAATATCACTTTAAGACACTTTGTGCTCCTAGAATACTTTTTCCTAACTAAATCATTATACTTCTAACTTTTTTTCATTAATCTTGGTTTATGTGCATAACTTTAGTTACTCTTTTTTTTTTAACTATAACTTAACTCATACAAATATCCCTAAAGCTCAATCTTCTCCACATCCACCTTCCTCCTCCCACAAGAACCACCGTAAGAAGAGGACCAGAAACCAACCGGAACCATATAACTAATTTCTATAAACTTGAAAAATAAAACTTTTTTTTATCTTGAATTCTAATCCGTTAATAACTCAATCTTCTCCACATCCACCTTCCTCCTCATACAAAGAATCCGTAAGAAAAGGACCATAAATCAACCCAGAACCATATAACTAATTTCTCCAAACTTGAAAATTAAAACTTTTTTTGGGTCTTGAGTTCTAAACCGTTAATATACATAAGATTTGTAAGTTCTGAAAGTAAAAACACAGAAATAATGAAGATTGTATGATAAAAATCAATGGTGGCTTTGACAAAAAACGCAGAAAACTCTAATATAAAGAAGATGAAATTATTACAAAATTGCCACTAATAAAAAAAATTGATCATGTGTCTGTGTACATAATGTTAGTGTACACGAGTACATTGAGTGTGATGTGTACATAATATTGATGATGTGGATGTGTACATAAATTGTGTATGTATTTTGTTCGTGTACACGAATAAAGTGAACAACTTTCATATGTTTTAATGTCAAAATACATCCACATGTACAATGATTCACATGTACACAAAGTTAACTTGTACAAGAATACATAAACGCTATACATTGTTTTTCCAACAAGAGGAATGTATCTTTTGCTCACTCTGATTTTTTTTGTTGCTTGAATCCAAACAAATCATTGATGCACACAAATCCATCTACAAAAAATGTTATGATATCTAATGATTTTATAAAAAATCACATGTACACTATTTCTTTTATAAAATCACATTTACACTAGTTCACATGTATACTAGCTCTTTTATAAAAATCACATGTCCACATATACAATGTTTTATAGAAAATCACATATACACTAGTTCTTTTGTACACTGCACAAGTTTGATTTTTAGAAAAATCACATGAACACTAGAGATGCACACACATACACATTTTCATATGTGTACAAAGATTATATGTGTACATTTTCACCATCATTAGTAAGACAGATGGTTATGCATGTTAAATATGTATACTATAAGGAGATTTAAATGATTGATTTGAATGTACATACGTAAATCTATAACATGGATACCATTTTAGTTATAGCTTCAATTGTACACCAACAAAACATGTACACAGATTATTGAATATCATCAGTAAGAACAAATGGTTATGCATGTTAAGTACGTACAATATAAATAAGTTTAAACGATTGGTGTAAATGTATACGTTTACATCTATAACATGGACACAATTTTAAAAAACATCATCAATGAAAAAGGTCTTCAGTAATATGGCTGATAGTCTCAATTGTACACCAAAACAGCATGTACACATATTTGGTGTACATCATCAATAAGTATATACAAAGATTTGGTATACATCATTAGTAGAAAATCACATGTACACTAGTTTTTGGTACACTGCACAAGTAATGATTCTTATAAAAATCACATGCACATTAGATTGTACGCACGTGTCCATCAAAGATA